AGCAAGTGTGGTCTGTAGTCAACATTGAAGGTGGAGTACCCCGTGATCGTTGATAGAATTCCTGAACCATATGGATCCACTTCCCATCATATTAATTTATTTGTATGTATTTTACTAGTAAATTATTTTAGATTTATTATTTGAATTTTTATAAGTCATTTGATATTTTATTTCTTATTTTTTGGACTCATAAAAATGAAGTTATTGATTTACAAAGTTATAATATTTTAAAATTTATTTTGTTTAATTTTAAAATATTTATTAAAAAAAATATATGGGAGCCCATAGTGCACATGAGCCCACCATGTGGGTATTAGATGGGGCGCCACATACCATACATGGGTGGCACGCCCCACCCTTGGATACCTTCTCTTGTTGCTTTGTCTTCAAGTTTATTAAATATGGTAACTATATCTTGTAGCATATGGTCAAATATTAATTATGAAATATTGACCATATATCTTGATTATTGAAGGAATATCTTGACTTGATATTATTTAAATATTCTTATGCAAAATATGAGATGGATAAATGCAATTTATGGTATGCACTATATCTTTAATGGATTTAATTTATTTAAATATATTGATGGGAAAATGGTTTAAGGAAAGGGGGATAATGGTTCATGCACCTTCCATAATGTTGATGGCTCATTTATGGAATGGATGGCTTAGATCTCTCACTCCATAAGTCACATTGATTAATGGTCCATATTCAATCTTAAGAAAGATGAAAGCTATGGGAAACCCTAAAGAAACCTTGAACCTAAATTTCACTACAAATTGGGGTGCTCTCTCCTCATCTCTACACACCTCTCTCTCTCATAACCTCTCTCTCTTAAACTCTCTCTCTCCTCTCAAGGGGCCACACCCCTCTCTCTCTTCTCAGGCTTTTTCTCTCTAACTTTCTCTCTAGACTGAAGAAGAAACTAGGGTAAGAAATCAAAGGGAAGCTTAGAGTTATTTTTTTGGGGTTAGCGTTTTGTAGAGATTTAAGGGTAGTTACCTACTTTTGCCGAAATTAACTTTTTCGGTTCGAGATTGAAGCTAAACTGCTGATCCCGCGCCATTGGTGTGGTGACTCGGTGTGGGGTGTAAAAAACGCGGTTGAGGTAATCTCTGACATCTTTTATTTGTTAGTTCTTTTATTTTGTATTCTCAAGCACAATATTAGGTTCTATGAATGGTATCAAGTAGTTGAGATTTATTTTATTGATGTGTTATTTATTTTTGAAATTTCTATTATTTGTAATATGACCATCTATGAGTGATCTTGTTGCTAAAATTATAAGGGGTGATTATTATTAAAAAAAAAAAATGTATTTCCCCGGCAAAAGATCACATAGGTCTTTCTTTCATCTCTTTCCCTTTCTCCTCAAATCCCTTAGATTGGGTCATGTAAATTTCTTCTTCTAAGTCCCCATTTAGAAAGGCCGTTTTAACGTCCATTTGATGAACCTCAAAGTCAAAATGAGCTTTCTTTGGCATGACAACATGAACAATCCTAGTCACATATATCTTTCTTTCAATGTGACCTTGATCTCAGATCCATACAGATAGTTGCGATAGCTTGAGTCACAGTGTCACAAGTTGGCTATTGAGTGTCAGATGCTGATCTGACGACTTAGAATGTTTTATTTTTAATCTTTATTCAATAAATTATTTTTCAGCAAAAATTGGGGCATGCACAAGGCACACATGATAAAATAAAAATATATATTTCTTGTAACAAAAAATTTACCAGGATACCCCTAAAATTTTTAGGGGTATTATGGTTATTTATTTTTATGAAAATATTTTTATTTTTGCTAGGTGCACATCCAGAAGGAGATGGGACACCCCCAAATTTCAACCAAAAAGATTTTGTAGTAAAACTAAAAAAAAAAAAACAGTGTTTTGGCATGACAATATGAACAATCCTAGCAATTGATTCAGATTGATTGACTGAGAAATTGAGTCCCATAAAATTTATATGTGGTTCGGATCACTCAAAAAGCTTTGCCATTGGCAAAAGTCTTCAACTAAAGTCAAATTTCAGGTTTTGAAGGTCGAAAGGCTCAAATCTCATAACTGAATTGACACTTTTCCTAGCACGTTATTTTGTGTGATTTATTCAAATACAGCATGTTCTTCGAATCGTCGCCACAGTTATGGCGTTTATAGGTCATAGTGGGTCCAAGTCCTTGACCTAAGTAGCCTCCTCTTTTTATTGTATCATAGTTTTTTATTGTATCATAGCATACGATCTAGAAATGGCTTTAGGTTAGATTTATTATACTTTTCAATATGAATCAGCCATAAAAGACTGCCTCCACCAATATTGATCACGATTAAACATTTCATACCCCAAATTTTTGTTATTTAAAAACATCTCCACGAAATTTTGTTATTATATTCATACCCCTTTTTTCTATTTTATTTATTTTTCCCAGTTGCCCCTTACTTCGCACTTTGAAGGTTTGAAATTGAGCTTGGGACAATTTCAAGTCGAGGTTTTGGACATCTTTGAGCCTCATTTGAGAAGTTTTTCTATTGACATAATCCGGATATTGAAAGTCTAAAGTTATTATCCGAAACCTTTAACTTAATTTTAGACTTTGAAGATCCAAAATAAAGCCAATTTGAAAAAAAAAAAAAAGTATGAATGTAAAAAAAAAATGTTCGAGTTGGATTGTTTAAGGTGTTATATCCAATAAAACCACTTATCTTCCTAACAAGGAGGTCAGATTTGCTACAAGCCATTAGACATCAAATTATATGGTTTGAGGTATGTCACAAAGCTTTATAATTTTTTTTAAACTTTGAGTCTACTCAATAACACACTCACAACTACCTAAGTTAAAATCTGGAGAACAAGAATGATTGTGACATCATTGTATTAAAAGTAAATAGTCTCTTTGTGTAATTTTTAACAGTTTAAATATCTGGAATTTAAGATATACTAGAGTTAATTAAATTGCTCCCTCCGCACGCAACTTCATATCATAAATTCGTCAATACAAAAGAAAAAAAATAGCTATTTTTCAAAATCAAAGATTAGCAAATGTCATATTCACTTTGAAAAAGAAAATTGTTTGATACATGCTAGATAGCATTTCCACAACATGCACATCCCAAGGTATAAAGCATCCATTTTAAAGATAGATGTAAATTGGTGGTCCATCTAAAAACAATTGAAACTAATTATCCAAATATTCTCTTAATAGAACTATTATTTTAATTTTAAAATTTGATTTATTTTTTACATTCATGATCTCCATGGTAGTGATTACATGTTCTTAAAAATTAAGTCAAAAAATCCATCTAAAAAATAGATTTTTAAGAGGTGACTCGTACCTACATGGACTCATAGAAACTTTGTACTTTTGAAAATAGAAACTTTGTACTTTTGAAAATGAAAACTAGTGGAGAGATAACCGTCGTCAATGGCTGCTGACTCAGTCCCAAGCGTGATCGCGCCCCACAATAACGAATGTCGGCATTCTTACGTGGCATGCCGACATCAGCCACGTGGTCTACGGTTTGCACGCGGCCAGGCCCAACAGCGAAGAGCGTGCTGTAATTCAGACGTCAATGTCGGATGCTGCGTCGGATATGAATCAGAGTGGGCCCGCACATACTATCATGTACCTGCTCCCTCCACGTCAACCTCCGTTGGATCTCTCGCTCCCCTCGGAATAACGACGCCCAGAGTAATAATTGCCCAAAAATATTTGCCAATTGTCCAAAATGTCTTAACCAATTTACAGAAATACCCCCACCAACATAATGGTGCGTTTGTGTTGTATAGATTTTGAGGCACAAGCAAGCATGACTCTTCATAATAGATACACCTCTTCCTTTTTTCCTTTTTTTTTTTTTAATTTAATGGTAGGAATTGAACTTGATACGTAGCATTTGTTAGATGTCAACTGCTGACTATTTAAACAACCATAGCGTCTCGTTGTTGATAATTGGGCAATTGATGTAAACCATTCCACCAACAAATGGATGGCTGATGGTAGTATTTTAAAAGGAAAAAGTTTATGTCAGGGCAACTTTGTATTGTGGATGTAAGGTGCACTTCAAAAATCTAGTAAAAAAGAATGCTATGAAGTTGAAAAACCTTCAAATTGATCATCACAACTTCAAAATGTATGGACATAAAGAAAAAAAAAAAAAAAAATTTCAATTCCTAGAAATAGTGTATCTTATAATAAGTTATTTGGACCGTTTATTTTCAAGGTTTTTTTAGTGTTTATAGACCTACTCAATTTTGTTTTTAAATTTTTAAATTTCATAAGTAGTATTGAATATGAATTTTCAAGCCATCGTAAGGTTTTTGATACCAGAAGTACATCTTCTAGAAAAAATTTGAGGTGCACCGTACTTGTGCAGCATAAAAGTAGGCACCTTATATAAACCTTATCCATTAAATAATCGGCGAGCTCACTTGGAACTAGGTCGAAACCGATGCATGAGAAGTCGGGCTCTAAAGAACCCCCAGACTCAACCGCTTCCCACTAATTTCTTTTACTTTCTCTCAAAAAAAAAAAAAAAACACCCAAAGAAAAGGGGATCCGGTTGGAACTAGGTAACATTGTTTTAAATCGACAGAACACCAAGAAACTACTTGCCATTGTACATATGTAACAGTCACAATGGTATTATTGAAACTCGCTTGAACATGAATAACCCCTTTGGGCTTTCTTCATCCATTCTTACGCGAGCCAATATATCCATTCCTACGCAAACCAAGGTACAAGTTTTTTCACATTTTATTATCTCATAAATATGAGTTAATGATATACGGATATATCCATTTCATGTCAAAAATAGATCTTTTATTTGTTGGGCACCCTATGAAGTCCTCTTTTAAAAATAGAAAAATTAACCCTATCTCCGATTATGTCCCAGATTGGAACAGGGTACTATAATTCGCCCTTGCCTGCACAAGGAAATGAATGGATGATGCAATAGTGCTCTTCTTTGTTAGACGACCATACTCATATGCTCTCCGGTTAATGATCACCCTTGCATATGAACACTGTGGAGGAGCATAATTAATGATCGCACTTGCATGTGAACACTGTTGAGGAGCATAATGGTAATTCATAGAGAAATGGGAGGCATAGTCCTAATCCTGGAGAAATCAGTTGGCAGTTACAAAATGGCCTTGGGGGAAATCTCAGGGTCGAGGTTGGAGCCATCCACGCACCAAACACAAAACGTCCAATTGTAGCTACTGCAAATCTTCGAAGCCTCTTTTGTCCTTTATATATCTCCCCTCACTCTTCTCTCTCTTCATTCCCACGTTCATTATCTTTGAGAGTTTTTTTTGTTACAGAGGTTGGGGGGAGAGAGAGAATGACGATCACTGCAGCTCCATGCGTCAAGGATGGCAGCCTGATCGTTCATGGGAGAGCGGCGCTTAGCTGTGTGCCACCCAACATCGTTGTAACGCCTGCCGCATCATTGTCCGCCTTCCTTGGGGCCTCCTCGACCACCCCAGACAGTCGCCATGTCTTCAAGCTAGGCATTCTCCGGTAATTCTCTCTTTCTCTCTCTGTTTCCTGTATCGTCCACGGTGTCATGGTTTCACGGGTAAAAGTGACTAGAGGTGTGATCAGTTGGCAAGTGTTTGGTCTTGGTTTCTTTTCTGGTGATCCTGGTTCTGTTTCTGGGCTAATGATTTGTTCCCAATTATGTCAGTGCTGGGTTGTTTTCTAAAATATGGGTTCTTTAAATTTTCAAATACTGCTCTGTTTTTCACTTTCTGGTCTGATCCCTGTATCATCTGTCATGGTTTTTTAACAAAATTTGGATGGAACATGGTGGCTCCTTTTTTGGCTTATGATTTTCTTTGATAATACTAGAATTCTCTTTCCTGAAAGAAATCGTCCCAAGTTGTTTAATAGATGGGTTATACTTACAAATGTGATTTCTGAAAAAGGGCAGGTCTTTCTTTGGTCTTGAATTCTGTTCATGAGATGTAGAATGATGGGTACTTATATGTTGCAAATGCAGGGCATTAGCATTGTTACTAGTATTGGATTTGATTAAATCCATCTAAACACTGATTGATGAGTCATTCTCATTCTTGGCAAAAAAAGATACTTGAGTTGGTTTAGTTTCACTTGCTAGAGCAAAACTACAATTGGAAGTTCTCTTTTATAATTTTTAGTTGGCTCTGTTTTTTGTCTGAACAGAGGCTTCAGGTTGATGTATCTGTTTAGATGCAAGATCTGGTGGATGATTCCTCGAATGGGGAAAAGTGGAAGTGAGATCCAGGTCGAGACCCAGTTGTTGCTCTTGGAAGTGAGAGAACAATCTGCAGTGATTGACGAAGAGAGCAGGGACAATCATATTTACAGTCATGATGAAAACATATTTTATATCCTTTTCTTGCCGGTGCTTGATGGCCAGTTCCGGACCAGCTTGCAGGGCAATTCTTCAGATGAGCTAGAATTTTGCATTGAGAGTGGTTAGTCTCTTTCTCTCTCTCTCTCTCTCTCTCATGAGCTGTTCTTCTTCTTAACTTTGACGAGTGACAGGTGATCCCAATGTGAAGACTTCACAGGCTTTAGAAGCAGTTTTCATCAACTCGGGTGATAACCCATTTGAGCTCATGAAGGAATCTATAAAGTGAGTTGACATTGAAAATCAAGGCACAAGATAACAGATCAAATAGCTTTTTGTTTTTTTTTCCTCCTGTTAATTAACTTATTGTGAATGCCCTAACTGTTTTTGTTCTTGACATTATATGTAGGATTTTGGCAAAGCACAAGGGAACATTTTGTCACCGTGATAGCAAAAAGGTTAGCATTAATTTGCAAGCTGTCACTTCATATACTAAGGAGAAATATTAAATTAGAGTAATCGTGTTGGCGGTACTCGATACAATTGTGTTATGTGTTTATTCTCCTTGTCGATCTTACTGTTACAGATGCCAGCAAACTTAGATTACTTTGGTTGGTGCACATGGGATGCCTTTTATACTGATGTCAATCCAGCTAGGATTAGAGAGGGCCTAAAGAGGTACTAACTTGCTGATTTATAGGTAATTAAATAAAGTACAATTTAGAGTTTCAAAACTATACAAAGCACACTGCATTTTTTTCTTGGTCCCTTCCAAAGCAGTGTTATCTCAAATTAACTCTTTATCAATTATTACACATATAATGGTACTCTTAATATACAGCAGAATGCAACAATTTTTATTTTTTTACGATTCTATGAATGTTAGTTAGTTTTTCCGCACCAATTCAACATCTCCCTGTCTCCAAGATCATAACTGAGGTCCTCAACTCCAAGACTGAGTTTAATTTCTTTTGTTGCAGTTTATCTGATGCAGGAGCTCCGGCGAGGTTCCTCATAATTGATGATGGATGGCAAGATACAATTAACGAGTTCAAGAAAGAAGGAGAACCATTAATTGAAGGGACACAGTGAGTTATCACATAACCCATTCCCTATTTGAAATTGAGCTTATTACTATCATCGACATCAACTCAAACTTTGCAAAGCTTTTATGTAAAATAATATTCCCCCATAATTCAAACACTTTCAATCTCATCTTATTTAAAATGCTGGCTTTTGATGCTTTTTAATTGCTAAATCGTCGCATTATAAAGAGAACTTACTGTGCTCTCTCCCACTTTTCGGTTACTTAGGTTTGCTACAAGATTAGTTGACATCAAGGAAAATGAGAAGTTCAAGAATTCCAGTTCAGATAGTGCTGGCAGTGGTCTGCATGATTTCATCCATAGCATAAAGGAGTCTTATGGTTTGAAGTAAGATTTTTCTCTCTTGAAAGTTTGGACTTTGATTTGAGCTTTTTGCTGACCATATTCATCAAAATTTTCTCTTATTTTGTCCCTGTACAGGTATGTATATGTATGGCATGCCTTAGCAGGATACTGGGGAGGAGTTCTCCCTACCTCTCCAGCAATGCTGAAATACAATCCCAAAATACAGTATGCAGTTCAGTCTGAGGGAAATGTTGGAAACCTTAGAGATATAGTTGTTGATAGCCTTGAAAAATATGGAGTTGGTTCGATTGATCCCGACAAAATCTTCGATTTCTACAATGATCTTCATAGTTATCTTGCAAGTGGAGATGTAGATGGAGTAAAGGTGGATGCGCAAAACATCATAGAAACTCTTGGAGCGGGCTTTGGTGGCCGTGTTTCCCTAATGCAAAAATACCAGCGTGCCCTTGAAGCATCCATTGCAAGAAACTTCAAAGATAACAATCTTATATGTTGCATGAGCCACAACTCAGACTACATATTCAAGTAACTACCACAAAAATTTCTGTGCCTATCAATTTTCTTACATTTGCTTTTGCTTGGGTTAGATCCTTTATATTGTTCTTCGTCATTCAAAAAAAGCGATACGAACATCGAAATTTAGTTGTAAATACTAAAAGTACCTGGATTTCCTTGTATAGTTCAAAGACAAGTGCTGTGGCTAGAGCTTCAGAAGATTTCATGCCAAGAGATCCAACTTTACAAACGCTACACATTGCTTCTGTTGCATTTAACAGTATTCTTCTTGGGGAGATAGTTGTTCCTGATTGGGACATGTTCCACGTAAGTTTCTAAACTTTATTGTATGCAACTATAACATGATTAGTTTTCACAATATGAGCCTCACTGTAACATTTGTTTTTCAGAGTAACCATGAGACTGCTGAGTTCCATGGTGCAGCTAGAGCAATTGGTGGCTGTGGGGTATATGTTAGGTATGCTTCAAAGGCATCATATTAGCTTATATAAAGTATACATTCAATTGATTTCCCACAATTTTTTCAATGAACAGTGACAAGCCTGGTGAGCATGGTTTCAAAGTGCTTGAGAAGCTTGTGCTCCCTGATGGATCAGTGCTTCGAGCAAGATATGCTGGAAGACCCACTAGAGACTGCTTATTTACTGACCCTGTCATGGATGGGAAAAGGTTTGCCATAATTTGCCTCTAGTATTTCATTCAATAGACATCTCTTGAAGGCCACAAAACCAGAGTAATACTTTGATAATACTAATGCATTGTTTTGTTGTACTTATGATCTTGCAATTTGATCATATGCAGTTTACTGAAGATTTGGAACTTGAACAAGTTCTCTGGGGTTTTGGGAGTTTTTAATTGCCAAGGAGCAGGGGTCTGGCCATGCCAGGAGAAAATCCAAATGGAATCCAAGCCATCTTTGCTTCTCTCCAGTCGCGTGAGTCCAATTAATGTTGAGTTCCTTGAAGAGGTCGCAGGAGAAAACTGGGCTGGAGATTGTGCAGTATATGCCTTCAATTCAGGTATTTTCATTCAAAACTTTTTCTGCATCCTTTCCCATCTACCCTGTTTGTTACTGAAGGATTTTTTGTAACTATGCTCTTGTGTTTCCAGCATCTTTATCCAGGCTTCCAAGGACAGGGCATGTTGATATTTCATTAGGAGTTCTTCAATGCGAAATTTACACCGTGTCTCCTATCAGGGTAAGCCACTTTTTAACTCCAATTTAGCAATGTTGCATTCTATTTATTGATCTAAATGAAGTATTTCCTTGTCTTCTAATGTATTATGGTTCTGTCTCTGTTGATTTGTCGTCTGTTATTGCATTTTTTATCAGGAGTAGCATTATTTTCAACTAACAAAGTATATGTACTGCTTAGCATTCTTTCTATCAGACACCATCATGTATATCACCTGATGCAACATTCACTAATGTCTATCAGAGGTTGTTAAGAGTATCCTAAGGAACTATTCTTGGCTTTTCGCAGGCATATGATGGGAAAGTTGAATTTGCACCACTTGGACTAGTTGACATGTATAATTCAGGAGGTGCTATTCAGGAGATAGGGTTTACCAGTGATACTAGTGGGTGTGAGATAAAGATTCAAGGTCGAGGATGTGGCCACTTTGGAGCATATTCAAGCATTAAACCAAGGTTATGCACAGTGGATGGAAAAGAGGGGGATTTTAGTTATGAGACAAAGGATGGACTTCTGATCATAAATATGCCCCCTACCCTTCTCAATGGAAGTTTATTGAGGGACATAGTCATTGCGTTCTGAAGTTCTGAACTAGGAGCGCATGATTTTACAATTTCCCTTTTGTGTAAGGCTTTTATGGTTTAATCAAGAATCAAAGTTTGTGTAAATTCATTCTAATATATTTCATTGTAATTAATTATTTGTGCGAAAAACTGATAAAGGGAAAGATCTAGATACTGATATCGACATTCTGGTTAAGATACATGGAAATTTGAGAAAGATGAGAAACATTTTCTGCCTTGTGTATAGATTTTGAAATCTTTTGTTCTAATTATGGAAAAGTCCAAATAAAGAAAGGGTAACAACAAGAAAACAACATAATTCATGGGCTTCCAGTTGGTCGAAAAAATGGATGTACATTCCCAATTAGGAGACAAGCAAGCTCTCAATTGAAATCCTACTTCTTGGTGACAAGAGGACAAGAATTCCTGGTAAGAGTGGCTGAATGAAGACAGTCTCCTGAGATCAATCTCTTGGTTTACAAAAAGAGCTGGATGCAACATATTTAGAAACATTGTCATCTCAAAGTCATTATGAGTACTTGAGAGAAGGCTAACGAAACATAGAATCCATTTAAGAACTCCATCAAAAACTTATCCCCTGATTTGAAAAATAAGCTGGAAATGGGTGAATAGTTTGATTGTTTTTCTTATTCTTTCATTTTCTGCAATTTATTTGTGACTGACCAACTTAATTCATGATTCATCTAATGGATTTCCTAGTATAACTGTTAAAGTGACAAAATTAAACGAATTCAATTTCACTTAGTAAATTTATATGTTGGCTTATATGTTACCTGTTCCATATATTGAACTTGAGCTGATAGAACATTATAAGCCAAACTATCGAAAATGAGTCTATGCTGATCAGATCGCTAATATGCATACTCTCTGGTTTTCAACTGTGGACTCGATATTTTAAGGGTGTGTGTGCCTTAAATTGGCGCACCAAGGAAAATAAATAAATAATATAAAAAGAAACCAAAATACCTCTGACATATCCATCGGTGAATATTGAATTTGAGCTAATCTAATGGCCAATGTCGTGGCTCACTGTTTGATTTTTAAAAATTTGTTTTATAAATTTGTTGGAACTCGAAACTTGGGCATGTGGCCGGACCTAGACACACCAAGAAATCAAAATTGCCAAAAAATAGACTAAACGACCCACACCCTTACTTCTCAACACTAGCTGTCTAGGTCGACCATGACTCAATCTAGGCCATTGTGTTGATATTCTTTTATCAGCTCTAGTTTACATAATTTACATTCCACCCTTTACAACCCATTATAATTATAATGTCAACCTTTATATTGGTGTGGTTTATTTAAGGCTGAGGCCCCAAACAATCAAAGTAAGGGGCACCTTTAAATAGTGTTGGAATATGTTGTTTCGATATTAGAAATATTTGTAATGGCTTGAAGCTTCATTTTTATATGTAATTATAAAATTTAAAGCTTAAAAAATGGTGTAGATCTAGCAGATCTATGAACAGTTGAAAAACTTTAAAAATCGAAGGTCCAAAAATACATTACAAGATGGACTGTTTCCAAGACTTTAAATCCATTTTTTCTCATTTCCATACATTCTAAAGTAGAGATGATCAATTTAAGGAGTTTTGAGCATCAAAACAACCTCTTCTAATAGATTTTTGAGGTATGCCTTAATTTATTTGTTTAGGGCCTCACCGTTATATAAATTTTTTCCTTGTATGTTACAGGGTCATTAGCTTTTGTACGTGTGTGGATCTAGAAGAGAAAGAGAGATTAAACTATCCTATATGATGTCATTGTATATATTTGCGTACGTTTTCGGTATTGGTAGATATTTTTTGGGTTATTTTTTAGGATGGTCTTAAAAATAGCAGATAAACAATTTCAAAAGAAAAAGGATTTGGAGCCCATCTAAAAGGTAGATCTCACATGAACGAGAACAGATGGCTGACAATCTTTCGAGTTCTTCATCGATTTTTTGGACTATATTCAATGTTTTCAAAAAAGTATTTTAAGGTTTTTTATTCAAAATTTGTTCATAGTGGATATTTTTTAGGTTAGCCGACCCTACTTAATTGAAAAAAAACTATGATGATGATGAGGTTTTCGACACGCTTAAGAGGATATGTGGTAAGCATGCGGGCATAGTATAGCAAATATGTTTGTGAGACAACTGGCCTATGGACCATTTTAGGCTCAACAGCCGAGATTCGATTTCCAAGATCTGGACGGTTGCCCACTGTTTCATTTTTTATTTTTTTATATGCTCTTCTGGTTTGAAATTTTGGCCAGAGGGGCGAGTGACCAAGGCACATAAAAAATAATACAAAAAATAACCGACATCCCCAAACACTTGGAGAATGACAACCATCGGATGGTACAATCTAAGCCGTTGGACATTGCAAGGTATAAGTTGGTGAATCGATTCTTCAAATACAGTTAACTTCAAATAGGTTCGCTCATGGTCGTGTCTCCCTGTCATTGTTTCCTATATGTGCGTCGGTGTGCCGGTGGGCGCACGTGAGAGACTAAAGAAAAAAAATGACTTAGGTTTCTATGTGGCCAAGCCCGCATAGGTAGAAATGAGAGCTTTTTAATAACTTTATTTTTTAGATGGATTTTAAAACTTAATTTTTAAGGACATGTAATCTCCAACATGAAGATCATGAATATAAAAAAATAAATAAATTTTAAAAACTAAAAATAACAATTCTAGTAATAAAACATTTGGACTGTTAGTTTCCATTTTTTTTAGTTGGAACACCTACTTGTGTACATCTTTAAGATGAATGCTTTACACTTTTTGGACTGCATATATATAAATGCGGTAGAGCTCGCATAAAACAATTTTTCGGAAAAAAAAAAAAGGGCAAGAAAAAGAAGAATAAGTAGATATATGAATTTTGAATTCTGTAATAACTCTTTTTTCTTTTCATTTTTTTTTAAAATCGCATGTTTGATTTTTAGAAGTCTTGACTTTAAAAGCCGCATCTTTCAATCCTTTAGCACTTCCTTGTTTGATAATGAGAGAGTTTTATAGTAACGTGGGTACCACGATATCCACTGGCCTTATATTTAAAAGCTAAAAAGAGGATACCCTTAGTTTCATGGGGACAATAGTTTAAGGTATCCAGTTCCATGAAAGACGTGATTTTCAAAACCGGATCTTTCCAAAAATCAAACACGCCTCAGTATCCCGGGATCCAAAGAGCACCATATCCTAAAAAAAAAAAAAAAAAGATAGCGACGTCGCTGACAAGGCTCACTTGGTCCGATAGTGTCGTCAGATATGAGTCAGCGTTGGTCCCACTACTGTGCACCTGGTCCTACGTCATCCCTCATATCACGCACCACGCCCCTCCATTCAATAATAGCGCCCCGTTGCCTCAATTTTCGAAAGCGCACATTGCAAAAGATTAAATGCTCCAGCCAGAGCATACTGTCCATTCACTCTTTTCTGTAAAATCCTATTTTAAGGATTGGAGGTCTCTTGAGTAACCCCGAATTTATTTATTTTGTGGTCCAGACCTCTTTAGTCTAGCTACTAATCTCAAAAAAAAGAAAAAGTGCCTGAAAATTTTGCCTTTTAAGATTAGAAGAGGGACTAATAGTCAATTGGTAGAAGTTTGATACAAGTGTTTAGGAGTTTAATCCATAATTTCGTTTCTCAGAACACTATTTTTTTTAGTAATTCTAAAGTAGACATAAGTATTTAAGATCCTAATAAATTCTCATAATATAGCACTTTTTGCGTAGGGGAGTAAGTACATGACATCATAACGTCCCACCCTCCATTCCCATCATTTTTTTTTTTTAAAAAAAAAAGAACCAAAAAAAAAAAAGAAAAAAAAAAGAACTATATAACATGATTCTGTAATTGTATTTGTGTACCTATGCCAGCGGTGGTCAAAATAGATTATGTCATTTGAAAACCGGATTGGCTAGTTGGATTGGTGATTGCTGCAATGGTCTGAATTGCCGTGGTCAAGTAAAAATAAAAATTAAAAATACGGAAAGTCAGGTTAATTTAGGGATTTAGTAGAAGGAAAAGTAAGATATACATCAGGGAAACATTTTTACATTTGTGTCCCCTAACGCATAAACCATCCATCCAAAGATGGATGTAAGTGATGGTCCTATAAAAAAAAGGTAAATAAATAGCTCACATATTTCCTTTTAAAAATATTATTTTTAGTTTTTGCCATTTTTTTATGCATTAATGTCTCCACGTTACGAATTGTGTATTCCTTAAAAATCAGGGCAAAAAATCATTTAAAAAATAGATTATTAAGGGGGGGGGATGCATTTCTACGTATGCGTCCGGGGACCATAGAAAGAATGTCCTTAGCATCGTCCGCCAATTCTAAGCTGAAGAGGGTACATCATTTTTTGTGATACGAATTTATATATAAGCGTGTATACTATGCTACTATGCTCCCCAGGGAATGCAGTGTACATCTACTCCTGGTCATAACCTACTTGAAAGGATTTTTTCAATTTGAAAATTTGAAACTTACTTAGAATCTTGAAACAATTTGAGTTTTCTAACTCTTAGAGCTCACTCTCAAAAAATTGGATAATTTGTATTCAAAATCTTGAGACTTTGTTTTTTTTAATTATATAGGAGTTTTTTATTGGGATTAGGCAATAGCTTGAAGTGGTCCTAAATAAAATTTTAAATTAGGTTTTACCTTAGGGAGTAAATGGACAGTATAGTCCTTCAAAAGTACAAAATTTTTCGGCTTTATATAAACATATAGACACGTCAGCTCAAATCGACAACGCGCGGTCCCTACCCAATATTTGAAAATGGCTCATAATTGGTGGATCGTAATTCATGGTGGAACAACTTAACAAACACCTCGCTACATAATTGCTACCAAGGATGGTGGATCACAATTTATGGTGAGACAACTTGTACAAACAACAAGCTAAATGTAATATATAATTAATTAAGAAAAAGAAAGATTCCAATATTTATGTGGAGGTCCTTGTCCTCCATTGTTTTTTATTTTTTTCTTAATTTGTCAGGTTTTAAACATTGGGCACATTAAATTTATTTTTTTGATTTTATGATATAGTTATCATAATTTGTCAGTTTTAAATATCAGGCACATTAATTTTTATTTTATTTTATTTTATGATATAGGTAGTACAATCTCAAAAGCATGGAATGCCAATTTTTTAGGGTGGTCTGATGTTAGAAATATCATACCGCCTTTTCACTAACTTGGTATATGTCTCA